GCCTATAGATAACATTCTTCATATTATATAGATCAATCTGCAATCACCGGAGACGATCAATTTCTAACAAATTTCATACCACATTATAAAAAATCAACAGTTAGATAGCTGGCAAATATATAATGCAATGCATGCCATAGCATTTTGTGATAATTAGGAACGATTTTGTGAAATCATAGGTTTTAAAAAGTGGACCTTTTGGAATTTTGGGGGCGGGGGGGGGCGCGCCCCCCCCCCCCCCCCCCCTCAATTACCAATAGTCCACATTTTCCGGGGTCACAACGTTCAAGACACACTTCACACGTTCCAGAAATCCATCCAACAAAACTCCTTGAACAATCAGAGCAGTTTCCAACTAGGACTGCCTCAAATTCGTCGTACAAGCAAGGAATTTTAACTGTATTTATAAGCTTTTTGAGGAATTTGAGTGCTTTCCCACGCCGCTTACATCTTCTCTCTTTCTATAGGTTTCACTACTAGAATTATCTTCAATTAATTCCATTCACATCTAGGTTATGCGTATGTCAAATTTGTAGGGAATTATTTTACTCCGACCTCGATTTATTTACGATTCTTTAAATTTAATCATATTAATGAACGTTAACCCGTAGTATAATTAATGACATTTCCACAATGTTTTTAATTACATTGATATAATTTTAGTTGCCTTAGTTGCCTTAACATATCAAAATTGCTATATTCATCGTTAGGCCTACCAAAAATTTTGATAGACTACAGAACTATTGAAAAAATAATACACTAATAATGTTTGCTCTCACAACCAGTGGCGGATTCAAGGGTGGGGGCAGCTGGCCCTGGAACTCCCCCTAAATGAGAAAGAAAAAAAAATTATAAAAAAATTTCCTACCTCAGCCCCCACCATATCGGCCCTCCATCCCTAAAAGTAGCTCCCTGGTTCCCCCCCCCCCAACCTTATTTCCTGGACTGCCACCGAAAAAAACCTTTAATACTCAGTTCATATTGCATCTTCAAAAATCTATTAAGACCTCAAAATATAATGAATTTCTGAGCGTGAGGGGCCTCCGCCCACTCGTCCTCAAAATGGCTGTCATTACCACCCCCCCCCCCCCATTTGACCCACTTTCCACAAATTCGCACCCACCCAATAAAAATCCTGCGTAGTTACAGGTCTCCCTGCACTTATAATCGAAATCTACCGTAGTACCTCGACTCCCAAGACGCTTGGCAATATGTTTGTTCATAGATCCACGTTAATTAAGACTACGATATAAGCATGCACAATGCTTGGAATTATTTCTTTACTTTATATTTTCATAAGATGCTAATTTAATGGAAAAAATAGCAGCTGTGTGGATCCCCTTCTATACTGAAATTTTACCAACTCTGCAAGCAATATTTATACCAGTCCGAGTAAGTACATCATCATCATAATATTACGACACGCTGCTACTTAACTTGGGAATCGGGTTCAACACAAAATGATTAAGCACAAGCTCGGTAGTCTAATGGTTATGGTACAAGGCTTGTTTATCTGGAGGTCGTGGGTTCGATTCCTACCCAAATATTTTTTTTCCCCCAAGTAATCTTTACGACACGTCAGATAGGTCAAAATATCAATCCTATTATACTGTACAGTACATCACGACATGATCTTATATAATGGCTAAGTTGTGTCTGAGCCATGTGATTATGCTGTCTGGAGTTATATGACTTAATTGATTGATGGATTGATTGATTGATTATAGTAGCCGTAGACTTTACCTGGTGATAAAGCTGACTATCGGCAAAAGCTTGTGTTTTCTATGAATAAACTGTACTTATACTGTACCATGTTTAGACGGGTAACCTGTCAGAAGTAATACAATACAGCATAGTAGTACTGTAGTTAGAGTACGCGTGCTACTTCAGAATGACGGCTCGCGTGCACACGAGGTTTAGCCAGATGAATACAAATATGCTGATTTCGAAACTATAATTCAAAGGATGGAAGTAACTATACAGTATTTGTGGGCCTACACACAATTTCGATTAGGAAAATCCTACATCTTTATCTTGTATTTTTCTTTTAATCTAAAGAACATTAATGTTGTTCCTCTATTATTATTTGTATCAAACAAATATCAATAATCAATACACTACTGTATATTCATCCGTCGATGGATTTATCTATCTATCGGCGGATGACTGACCGACCAATCGATAATCAATATAAATCCATAAATCAATCACTCTTTAATTGCCTTTAATTTATTTGGATTTACAATACGATTATCGCTCATAAGACGAACAAAATACAGATAGCCTATACCAAGGAACAGTGAAATTACACGAACAATAATCGCATAGGCCTAGCAATGGTCACTAATGTAGCATAGCTGGAAAAAAATACTTTGAAGGTAAAAATACGAGTATGGATTATGTTACTAATGAGTCAAAATCTCAATGGGAACATTATGAACCCGGTTAATTAGCGAGTAATATATTGACTCATATTGACTTTTCTACTTCTAGTCCCCAGGGCTCTCAATCAAGCAATTGACGCTATTGGCTTTTCGAGACCACGTGGTACTAGAAATGTATGAGTCATTGAAAGGTGGGTCTGTCCATTCATGCCTATTAAAAATAAATTACAAAAATGCATCTCATATAAACAAATAAATATTATATCATATATGGCAGCCACGTATTAAACATGCATAAACATAAAACCACGTGACTATAGTTACGTGACAAAAAGTCAAATATTAAAATAGCTTGCATTAACTGTGCACTTAAATATAATAGGCTTACAACCAAATAAATGAATTGCGTGACACGCGACGATTTTATGTTGACGTACCGTATATAAAACAAATTTTAGTAGGATATGCCGACAAACATGATACCACGTATACACATAAAACAAAATGGCCAAATAAATACAAAAAGTCACAAAATGTGAAACCATTTGAATAATGAAAACAACTTTAAATAACATTATGTGTTTGCAGACACAAACAATAGCTTTCTTGCGAAAAAAAACAAAACATAGGCCTAATGCAAAAGCAGATTATAAGGTATGATTTTGTCTCACTACAGAGATTCTTGAAGACAACGAAGTTGAAATTATAGATGATTTTAAACATATGCTGCTTATACTGCAAGGCGTACGCGAGCCAAACAGCCAAACGCATCTTCAAATAGAGACTTTAGTATCAAAGATAGTTTACCCGTATATTGGAACGAGTAAAGTGTATTCAGGTAAGTAAAACTAACGGTGTCCATTTAGAACACCAACAAATTAAAACGACACCAACTCGATTGCGTCATTACCGTCACAGGGATTGGTTCTATTCCAACTGGAGTATACAGCGATGATATACATTTTCGTCTCATTTTATACCTCCATGTTTCAATGCAATTCGTTTATTATTTTTGCATACACAGAAGGAGTAGTAGGACCACGGATCAAACTGTCGACCCACTATTCAACGGATTCATCAAAAGCCAGACGCTTAAAAACCGATGCCGGTCCGCATCGCCATGGAAACACGTTTACAGGCTCATTATCAGTGTCCAATTTAGAAACATTGGTTGAAGACAGAAAAAGGTGTTTCACCGAAGTCGACATATACGCAGATGATTCGTTCACCTAGAATAATGTTTCGTGAATAATGCGCAAATCTATCGATTGGCAAATTCAAGAATGTCTTGCAGTACTGTACTTCCATTGGGGTGTTTCCGTGGCAAAGAATGCAAGAAATTGATTGAACAGTAAGCTTTAATTGTACATGGTAGAAGAACCGGTCACCCACCACGAAGAATATGGATTATATTATAGCAATGGAAATTGTTAAAATAAAAGCCCCATTTAAAAAAAAACCTAAACTGTAATCATGAGAATTGCATTTAACGGTTTTAAATTAGTGAGGGTTTGTGGAGTCAAAAACCGTAGCAACAACACAAGTCTTCCTTATATATATATATGCCTATGGCTGAAACATTTTCAAAATAAAAATATAAATGAAATATTAATTTGAGTCTATTGAAGAACACAACACACTGTAGTGTCTCAATAAGGGATGAATATGGGTTGAATTGACCATATGACACTCTCCGGTAATGCCCCGTCCCATTTTTTAAAATTAAAAATCCGTCACAATGGGCGCAGATCATTGGTCACGTTTTGACCGCAAGGTAATTTCATAAGTAAAGATAATGCCAGAAAGATGTTGAAATGAACTGCATAAATGACCCTGGTTTTAACAAAAAAGACTGTATAGCCTGAGTACAATACTGCACATACATCTTATATTATATCAGGGGCGGATCCAGGATTTGAAAGATGGGGGTTCAATTTCCCATAAACCCAAAAATGAAAGGGAGGTCCTCCCCGGGAAAATTTTGATTCCTAGATGGCCGGAAATGAGCTTTCCCGACTCCTGAGGTGTCTTTTAATGACCTCTAATTTCTTCAAAATTCAAGGTTTTACCCCTCATTAAAAAAGGTCAGGTGATTTTATCTCATTCTTAGGCCTATACCCTAGAAAATAAATCAAAAATATAGTCAATATATTATTAGGCTTATATCATACTCATCCGGCGTGAACCTCACGCTTTTCGAACAAACCTCAAGCCTCTCTAAAATCTCACGCTTTTCCACTAATCGCAAGCTTTATTTGATTAAACCCAAACTTTGTATCAAAATACTATAAACCTTCGCAATTCTATATTTTATCAGGCCCAGATCATCGAAAATTCTCTCGTTCCTGTTATAGCTACACATATTAAGGTTTAATTTCAGCACTAGATTTCAGAGTGCACCAAAGAGCATCTAAGCCCAAAATTTTTCGGAGCCCTTGGACGGGCCCTCGACTCACGTCATTTGGGTTTATTTCCTGTTAAATCTCAAGCCTTTATCTACCTCCAACTTGGCATATGTATTCTATATTCCAACATTATTGAGTAGTTGGATACGTAGTATTTCTTCCATAGATCGATGAACTGATAGGCCTGAACAACACACTTTCGTACATAAATTATTACGACGTCGAGCCAAAACAGTGTTTTTAATTGTATTTAATTGAATGCTAGTTGGGATAAGTCTATTTTGTCCGATCTGCCAACCTATGCCTAGGTAGGTTACCTAGTTACCAACCTAAAATATTTGAAATGCGTGATTTGAAACGCGGCAGCAGCAGAGCCCCAGCCGGTGTCAACGGTCGGGGCCCCGGTGGGGTTCTGGGGGAATACCTCCTGGGCGTTCTGACTGAGCATTTTTAAAGCTGTTTTTAGGGAGTGTTTGTTGACAATACCGGGCACATAAACAAAAATATTTTTAATAAAGCCATGTACAATTCGAGTTTCAATGTATGTTTAATTTGAGCACCCGAACTATGTGCACAAACATTTATTACTCAAACAAACAAAAAATGGTGAACCTTTCCTAACATTCGACACCCTTTCTACCCCTCCTATTATACTCCTACACCCCTGATTCTTAATTAATTTGTTTAAAGGGCCAACATTTATTTTGAGTTGGGCTCACGGGCCAAAAGATAATATCTGAGTACCGGTCATTAAGGAAGTCGTTATAATGTTTTTGGTAATTTCAAATTCTAATTTTTGTTATATAGGCCTATGGTAACAAATTCTGTAACTTGCAAAGAAGACGTACATAATTATCAATATTCTGTTCACATCCTAGTTGGTTAAAACAATAAGAAATTGCATTCGGTGTATAATAAACGTTAGTAACATAAACATTAAAAATATATATATTACGCATACGTAATATAAAACATAAATTGACCTAATTTTCTGATAAACAAATTAAATAACATTAATTAAATGAAATCATTTCTCGAGGTTGTGTCAACCTGAGGCGCTATATAAATCCAGAATTATTATTATTATTAATGATGATATAGGCGTATTTGCTACCATCAAGGTAATTCAACGAAAGGACGCACATCTCCGCTCTCGAACATAGCGCGTGCGTACAGTCCTTTGATCTTTACTGTGGCATCGACAATCCGATACTAGTTGCGAGTACAGCCGTCAATTATTAGTCTATGCG